AAACAAAATTCCAAACGTTGAGCTAACTAGCCCAGTGCCACCCTAACAACTAAGACATATTAAAAGTGTTCATGCCATGCTTAAGCTAATTGATAATTGCAATAGTGAGTATACTCGTATACTGCACTCTCTACTCTATGGTAGACATCATGGTGCGACTGAGGGTTCTGCATCTCGGAGCTCACACACCCTTCTAGTCTACCGAGGCTGGTTGCATAGAATCTCTACATCGATCAACCCCCTTGACTAGCTCACTCCTTGAGTGTCGAACCTTGTGCCCAAGCTAGTTACTTTAAGTGCCTCACACACTACCTAAGGATATCTCCAGACTGAATCTATACTTTCGATAATGCTAACATTTCCTAAAGGAACTCGGGTGCCCTGATCGTTTCCTGAGTATCATCGAAGGCTATTTTTATGTCATCCTAATTGATCTTGTTTCTAATTGTAATATTAATATCAATAATATTTTCACTTGTAGTCTTATTTGATGTTATAAAAAAGTGTTGAGGTACCTCGAGTCTAATTCCCTTAAAAATTGACATTTTGTCCAAAACAGACTGAAAGTATCGATACTAGCCCAAAAGTATCAATACTCCAGCAAAAGTTTCAATACTTTATGTAAGTATCGATACTTTTGTTCTGCCCTGTTTCGAAACTTTTTGGGAGTTTCGAAACTATGACTCAAAGTTTTGATACTCTTGCCTAGAAACTCACAAATTTGCCCGAAACGAAGAACAAGTATCGATATTACCCCTATAGTTTAGGTACTCTACCTGTAGAAGTCATTAAATACATACGAGAATGCTATATTTCAATCCCAAAGACTCTAGTGAGGTTCCCAAACATGCTTAAAGTTTTTTTTGATCAACAAGGGTCATAATAGAGGCTTTAAACACATTTATAACTAAAAACAAGAATTTCACTATGAAAATGCTTATCATGCTCAACTCAAACATTTAAACTAACTTGAACTTCTAATGACTCACTAAGAGTATAGAAGAGTTGTAAAGGTGTTACATTGCTTCTTTGGTGGCTAGAACTCTCCTCAACTCAACTAATGCTCAACTTTTCTTTGTCTTTTGATTTGGAACTCTCTCCCATTTCCTTCACTAAACAAGGTAAGAAAATGGATTGCCAATCCATCTAGAGGTCGGATACATTCTAAATAACTCCTTATAATCCAAAACATAGTTAGAATCCATAGATTATCACAAACCTCTCAAAACCCATTTTTGGTTCAATGCATAAAAACTAATGAAATTGAGATTATATTGAAGCTTGAAGAATAAGGAGTTGAAATCTTACCTTGGATTCACTCAACTAAGATTGGATTTCTCTAAATTCCTCACTTTAGGAAAGAATGAAGAAGAGAGAAAGATAGGAAGAGTATTTGGTGAGTTGTAAGGGGGTTAGTTCACGTAAAAATCATATATAATGAAGGGGTTTTTCAAATTTCAAAATAACTATGGTAAACTACACTTTTAATCGCTTTACTTTTATTTCATAAATTTACTCATCCTCAAACAATAACTCTCTTTGGACCCTAACTCAAGCCCACAATCAACAAACTTGGTCCCACTATAATATAAGGTCCAAAGGCTCAACTTTGGGCTTTGGGCTGACTCGAACTACTAACTCAAGATTCGGGACATTACAGGTTCACCACGTCACCTTAAGTAATCTCTCATCGAAAGATTTTGAACAATTCTGTTTAGGATGCTGATGAAATCCTCCCAAACAATAGCTTCCCACTGAAATAATAATCTTCTCAACTCAATATTCCATACCCAGCGACTATTTTCAATATAACCAAAATCCGACACTTTACCGAACTTCCTAATAACAACACCAAGATTCTCAGGAAAGTCCATTTTAACAAACCCACGTCCGTCCAAGGATCATTCCAAAAGTCGATATTGGTCCCATCCCCAACAACCAAACACATATTTTTCGTGTAGAGATCATCCGCTTGTGATATTCTTCCAGATTTTAGAAGAATTTCTCAGCTGAGGAGGGGATGGAATCAGTAGTTTCCGATCCAATCTATACTTTGCATCTACCACTTTTCTCCATAACGTATGTGGCTCGCACCCATAAAGCCACAACCACTTATTTAATAGCGACCGATTCCGAACTTGTACATCATAGAAGCCCAAACCTCTATAGTCCTTTGGCTTGCAAACGTTATCCCACTTTACCCAATGAATCGTTCTGTTCGACTTATCCCCTCAAAAAAAGTTTGAGATTTTTTTTATTCCCAGTCGGGCATTCTAAAGGTGGGGAATCAGATTTTGTTCCTCCTCAAGCAAAAGTATCCATCAAACAACTGTGCAATCAATTCATCTTAAAAGGGTAAAATGAATGAACAATTCGGTGGGCTATTCTGTCACGTACATGGTTTTGATATCTATAATTGTAATCTCACCAATGAAGGTCCGACTGGGAATTTTAATACGCTTCTCACCTAAATAAATTAAATGGGATTTAAAAAAAATATTTGCTTAAATTTACTTTTAAGAGTAATTTGTGGAGGGGGCTCTAAACTACCTTCAAAATTTTTAAACTTTTAATATTTTTACCCTATAAATTCATGATATGATATTTTGACTAACCCCGTCTTAAAGTTTAGATCTTTGTAAATATTTAATCCAATAGTGGTGAAATGTTGTCAATGTCAAACAGTTAAGTAGATTTGTATGACGTGTGGCTTAAAATGGCAGTAGAATGGGCAATAGCATAAAAGCATAGCTGTCCCTTTTATCATGAATAAAAAAAGAATGTTGAAGAGCTAACTAATCCGCACTAAGGTATATTGGAGAAAATGATTGGGGGAGACTATTAGAAAGATTCATTTCCCGGATAAATACAAGATTTTAAGTTAGAAGATAAATTTAAATTTATGAAATTTTCGGAATGAACTTGAATTTATAAAATTTTAAAGATAAAAAAAAAATTTAATAAAAAATTATAAAATATATAGTAGTTTTATATTTTTAGGGGATGATGGCTCCCACCCGTTCCCGTAGATCCATCGCTGCCTCGTTAATCATACAGTTAGTGAAGATGTGGTCCTCATTCTCAACCTAACCATCTTTTTATTAGAAAACAAAAACAAAACAAAATTGTGGATTTGTGGGTCAACCCAGAACCATACTTACCTCTGACTCGGTGGATAATGATAATTAGGAGATAATCCAACTGGTAAAAGAACAGGTAAATATTTTAATGTGTATATAATGAAATATGAGCCGTTAACCTCATACTTTTAGACCGAAAAGGAAATTATATAAAAATATTTTAATTATATTTATTTAACATTAAATTAAATCATTTATAATTTTTTTCTAATATATAAAAATAAATATAATGCAAATGAAGAGTTAATATTTAGGTATAGTCATAATTTAATTCTCAATATTAATAATTTTTCATTTATTTAATTGATTTTTTAATTATATTTAAGTTTTAACTATCAATCTTTAAAAATGTAGGCACAAATTTTTAATAAAAATAATGACCAGTATATTATTTTTTTACTGGCAAAGATATCATAATTCAAATGTACGTCATGTTATTTTTTATATATTTGAATATTTGTATAGTTTTACATTATTTGCTGGTATAATATGTAAAATAAATAATACCTCATTAACATAAAATACATGTAGATTAAACACAAACTATACATCAAAATTATTAAAGTTTTAGTTTTATTATAAATATTAAAATATTTAAGCAAGAATCAAATGATCTCAATGAGAATAAAATTGTTGTTATAAAATATATTTAAGTTTTTTATAAAAAAATAAACTTATCTAAAAACAATAATAAAAATAATCACAATATATATTAAAAATTAAATTCATCATTATATTTAATATTGAAGTGATACTATAATTTTCATCGTAATGTCGTAGTCAAATGTTCGGAAATCAGTTTGTAATTATTCGCCCGATCTTTGTTCATTTGTCCTTAATGTAAAATGAAAATGATATAGAGTAGAGATGAGGGAATGGAAGAAAGCAATATAGAAGGAGTCCGAAAATAAAATAATATTTGCTGCTTTAAACACATGTGGGGTTGGTGAACTTAATTTGTCTTTATTTAAAGAAATTTATTCAAAATATGGCTAAAATACAAGCTTGTAATCAACTAACACCGGTGTGTAAATCGAATTAAATGACGTTATTTTTTTAAAAATTAATTGATTCATATTGAAATTTATAATCTTAAAATTCTATTAAAAATAACTAAAGAAATATAAATTTAAAGAAAACTCTACAAAATAACAAATGTAATATATTAATACTCCATATAATATTTAAACGCAATAAAATTATTTATATTTTTAAAAATTCATATTTCATAAATGAGTTGGGTGAATAATTTCTCCTCCTACATTGTTTTCCGAAGAACAATAATGCATAGAATTAATGATAATTACAATTTAGTTAGACCATGAATTATTTCAGTCAAAGCAGACCCTTCCCTGATTAAGATTCTGGATTTATTTCATTATGTGGATCCCACCGTATCAAATTGTGTTGGGAATATTGTGATCTTCAAACATCTCATCAAAACGATAATTAAGGAGTATTAATATAAATATGTAAATGTGCAGCCCCATTTTTAATTCTATAGATAAGTAAATGTGCAGCACAAAATTTTTCCTTTTAACTGTTATAAATTTCTGATAATATATTTGCTATATATATTCGTGGGGGAATGAACTAAACGTTACTATTAACAAAGCATTTATTTTATTAGGGATCAACCCATGCTTTTACATAAAAGGTTGGAAAAGAAAAACACATGAAGTGTAGAAACATTTGTAATAAAGCGGAAAGAAATACGTGAGCCACTGAATAACACATACCAAATTACATGAGAACGATGAACCCTCTTTTCTCATATTGAGTTCACCCGTCTACTACTTGTCTACAATATCATTATTACTTCTTCTCTTCAAATGCAGACTCTAGGTAGGCTACCTTTCCCTCTCACTCTCTCTTATGTTCTCCTGCAACAACATGTTTTTTCATTTTTGTTATTGAACTCATTAAAATCATAAAAAAATGTGAAATAATGGTCCTTGGAGAGATGCAAAAATAAATGTAGGTTACCTTTTCTGCGGTCAGAGCTGTTGCTTAGTAGTGGTGAGGAGGAGGTGGTGGAGGAGACTTATACTTGTAAACTGGTGGTAGTGGGGGTGGGGACTTGTATTTATAATGGTGCTTGGGCGGTGATGGTGGAGGTGGAGACTTGTACTTGTATGGGTGCTTGGGTGGTGATGGTGGTGGTGGAGACTTGTACTTGTGAGGGTGCTTGGGTGGTGATGGTGGCGGTGGAGACTTGTACTTGTGAGGGTGCTTGGGTGGTGATGATGGCGGTGGGGGAGACTTATACTCGTAAGGTTTTGGAGGATAATGCACTGTTGGCGGTGGTGGTGGAGACTTATAAACATGAGTTGGTGGATGGGGAGGAGACTTATAAGACTCCTTGGGTGGAGGTGGAGACTTGTAGGGATGCATGGGTGGTGGTGGTGGAGGTGACTTATACTTGTAAGGGGGGTGATAATGACCTGGTGGAGGAGGTGGAGACTTATAAACTGGTGGAGGAGGTGGAGACTTATAAACAGGAGTTGGTGTCGGGGGCTGAGACTTGTAAGGTTCTTTGGGTGGGGGTGGCGACTTGTATCTGTGCTTATGTGATGATGGTGGTGGTGGTGGGGACTCGTACTTGTAAGGAGGTGTGGGAAAATGCACTGGTGAAGGAGGTGATGGAGGCTTATAAACTGGAGTTGGTGGAGGAGGAGACTTGTAAATCTCCTTAGGTGGTGGTGGAGAGTACACAGGCGGAGGAGGCGGCGATGAAGTGTAGTAGTAGGGTGGTGGAGGAGGAGGGGATGGATAAGAGGAATTTGCTGTGGTTCCACAAGGCAAGCTGAGAGACACGAGCACTAACAGAGTGCCAAAGAGAGAAGCCAATATTGATGACCCCATATTTTACTACAAATACTGGGTTTTGTTCTCGCTCTCTGCCAACCTCACCACTACCTTTATATAGATGTTGTTTTTTACATAATGTAATCATGGTAATTTTCACTTAAAACTTGCTTTACTTTAACCTTTGTCAATGTCAAACGCCATTGACAAAAGAAATATATTAAAAAAAAACAAGTTGCAAATTGTCAGGTTTGAATGGTTTTCATTTTCATGCATGTTACGAGAAATTATGGAGAGTTTCCCATTGATGAAAACTATAATTACATTTTTATTTAAGATTCATATTCTTTTTTCTGTTTGATAAATAATTAATCTCAAATTGTTTCAATAAACAATTTTTAAATAATCATGTAAATTAATTAAATTAAATCGAAGTTAAATTTACTTTGAAAATGTTTGGTGGTTGTGCCCCATCTTTCCATTAAAATTAGTTTAGGCGTCCAGACGACTAGACTAATTTTTTGCCTTACAATCCCCGTATCTTTCTACTTTGTGGTTTTCTTAAATTGTATGTACGACATGATAATTCATATATAATGTTAAAAAATTTATTTATATATATATATATATATAAATATAATTTCAATATACTTTTAATTCATATCATAAAAATTTTGAGATACAAATAAAAATTTGATTTTTTTTGTTTATAATATATTATACTATGGAGTCATTATAATATAGTATTTGTTCATAATTTGTAACCTATCGATAATGTTTATTGACAAATATAATTAATGACACACTTTTAAAAAATCTATTAATTTAGGAAAAATTATTTTTTCATGGTAATATTTAACAAGAAAACTTTTATTTTTCTTCCTTTTATCTTAAGAATTCAATTGTAACTATTTTTTTAAAAAAAAACATCAAATTTATATTTATAGTGTTTAATGGATAAAAAATCTTACTTATGTAAATTCTAGCAATTTTCTTAAATTTTAATATTTTATGATTTTGTCTTATTATAAAATATTTTAGAGGTATCTTTTTTTTTTCTAAAAAAAAAGTAACATGAGACCTAAATATATTTTGGGACTTACTTATATACACCCGTAGACACAGTTGTTTGAACTTAAGACATCTAGAGAAAATAGCATACGACATCGTCTCATAATTTTTGTCTTATATTGACTATGCATATAGTTTTAGGAGATATATTTGACCAAGAGTGTAACACCCTACACCAGAACGACACACAGTCAACCAATGATAGTGCCACAAGGAACCACCGGAGTGGCTAACCAACAAATTTCTTTATTATACTCACTTGAAATTAAAGCTTCAGGTGTAAATACTTGCAATAAAATAGAAAATAAATTCCATGTAAAAGTAGTTTACAGTCAGGAGCTCCCACAATTTCAAAATAGATAAAAATGTCAAGATCGCGTATTTAAAATAATTTACGACTCAAATTTACAAAATAAACCTTTGAACATACATGCCCTCTAGAAATTTGAGATGTACGTTGCTCTTTTGTTTGGTCTGGACTTCTTTTAATCAAAAGGCTCCTCTATTAATCTTCACTTAATCTGCGTAAGGAAACAAACTACAAACGTTAAGCTAACTAGCCCAGTGCCACACTAACAGAGTGGAGAGAAGCCAATATTGATGACCCCATATTTTGCTACAAATACTGGGTTTTGTTAACGCTCTCTGCCAACCCCACCACTGCCTTTATATAGATGTTGTTTTTACATAATGTAATCATGGTAAATTTCTCTTAAAACTTGCTTTACTTTAACCTTTGTCAATGTCAAACGCCATTGACAAAAGAAATATATTAAAAACCAAGTTGCGAATTGTTAGGTTTGAATGGTTTTCATTTTCATGCATGTTACGCCAATTTATGGAGAGTTTCCCATTGTTGAAAACTATAATTACATTTTTGTTTAAGATTCATATTCTTTTTTCTGTTTGATAAAGAATTAATCTCAAATTGTTTCAATAAGCAATTTTTTAAATAATCATATAAATTAATTAAATTAAATCGAAGTTAAATTTACTTTGAAAATGTTTGGTGGTTGTGCCTCATCTTTCCATTAAAATTAGTTTAGGCGTCCAGACGACTAGACTAATTTTTTGCCGTACAATCTCCGTATCTTTCTACTTTGTGGTTTTCTTAAATTGTATGTACGACATGATAATTCATATATAATGTTAAAAAACTTATTTATATATTCAATTATATATATATATATATATATATATAATTTCAATATATTTTAATTCATATCATAAACATTTTGATATACAAATACAAATTTGATTTTTTATAATATATTATACTATGGAGTCATTATAATATAGTATTTGTTCGTAATTTTTAACCTATTGATAATATTTATTGACAAATATAGTTAATGACACTTTAAAATAATCTATTAATTTATGAAAAAAATATTTTTTTCAGGTTTACAGTTAGGAGCTTCCACAATTTCAAAATAGATCAAAATATACGGATCATGCATTTAAAATAATTTACGACTCAAATTTACAAAATAAAACTTTGAATATACATGTCCTCTAGAAATTTGAGACGTACTCTGCTCTATTGTTTGGTTTGGACTTCTTCTAATCAAAAGGCTCCTTTACTGATCTTCACCTAATCTACGTAAAGAAACAAACTCCAAACGCTGAGCTAGCTAGCCCAGTGTCACACTAACAACTACAATATACTAATAGGTGTACACTTACAACATGGTTTAATAACTGAAACAATACAATGCCTCATCAATACAACATTAGTTAATATCCTTGTGATACTCACTCTCTACGCTATGATAGACATCATAGTGCGGCTGAGGGATTTATGCATCTCGGAGCTCACGCACACCTCTAGTCTATCGAGGATGTGACCCTCGAAAACATTGCATTAGACACCACACCCTAACTAGCCCACCCTTGCGAGTGTCGGACCTTGCGCCCTAGCTAGTCAGTTTTAAGGGTCTTGTGCCCCTACCTATGGATATCTGGACTGCATCTATACTTTTGACACCCTAAACTAGAGGAACTCAGGTATTCGAATTATTACCCGAGCATTAACCAAGGCTAGTTTTATGTCACCCTATTTATTTGATTCTTTTGTTTGAATTAAACATCGTAAATATTTTTACTTGTAATCTTATTTATAATAAATTGTAGTATTGGGGTACCTCGGGTCTAATTCCCTTTAAAAATGATATTTTTTACCCAAAACAAATTGATAGTATAGATACTAGCCCAAAGTATCGATACTCCTGCAAAAGTTTCGATATTTTATATAAGTATCGATACTTTTAGACATTATGTTCTTCCTTCAATACTTTCTGGGAGTTTCGAAACTATGAATCCAGTTTCGATACTCTTGAAAGAGTATCGATACTTCTGCCCAGAAAACACGTTTCTACCCAGAAATAAAGAAAAAGTATCTATACCAGCCTAATAGTATCGATACTTGATCTGCAGAAGACTTAAAAACAAGCACAAAAATGCTATATCTAACTCCCAAAGACCCTTGTGATGTTACCAAACATGCTTAAAGCCTTATGGGTCATGAAAAGGGCATAAATAAGGCTTATATCATGCTTAAAATTCCAAAACATAAAATCTACCATTGATATGCTCAATAAGCTTATTTCTTATCTTCATGCTATTCATTACATTTAATATGACCCACAAGGAATATAGAGAAATTGTAAGTGTGGATACATTGATTTCTAGGCTAAAACAAAGCTCTAACTCACTCAATGAAAGATTTTTCCTTCCCTTTTGTCTTGGAGGTGTTGAAAACATTTTGATATTTCGATATAACAAATTAAGTTAAATGAATTTTAAGATTTTCCAAAAGATATTCTAAAGTATATTCGATATAATTATTCGAATATCAAAATATTACTGCAAATCTTTCAAATGTCATTTTTAATCCTTACTCAAGTGTAAAATTAAGTTTTAATCTTAAAATAATTTCAAAAAAATTTTAAAAAATATTTCAAACCATTTCAAAGCCAAAAATTCTAGATTGCTCAGAGGGAATTGATTCCCCCTCAAGGGGGTATCGATTCCCCCTGAATGGTTTAGCTCCGAGAAAAACAGAATACTCGGAGGGAACCGATCCCCCCCAAGGAGGTATCGATTCCCCCCCAAGGGGGTACCGATTCCCCCTGTTTAACAGTCAAAATATTTAAATTTTACACTTAGGGAATCGATTCCCCATGAGGGGGTACCGATTCCCCACACGCTCCAAGTTGTTTTATTAATTGATTTCACACTAAAACAGCTCTATTGACTCCACTAATCATCCCCCAACGTTCAGAATCATTTGAAGGTGTATTTAAACAAGCTTAGAAGCCATTGATCAATAACAAGAAACAACAATCAATAAGAATCAAGAGAGAATCAAAGAGAAAGCATCAAACCTCAAGTTTGAGCATTTTCAAGCCTATTTCATTCAATATTCATTTTTGCTTTCAAGAACACTTATTATGCTCAATTGTATTATTCTTGAGTGTTCTTTCTTTGTTCTAGAATTGTGCAAACATCTTTCCTTGTAAGTTTGCAAAATTTGTTTTATTCTCTTTGGGAGAGAGTGTTCTCGAGAATTTGGGGTATATTTCTTTAGGGATTTGTAAGGTTACTCTTTGTCCTCAAAAGAAAGACAAATTAGTGAATTTGTGAAAAATCCTTAGTGTGGATAGCTAAGGTAGTGGACGTAGACTTTGGTTGAGAAAGTTGAACCACTCTAAATCTTTTCAAATTTCTGCAAAGCTTCCATTGAAATTTTTATTTACCAATTCACCTCCCTCTTGGCTAACTCCATCGATCGATTAACTCAACAATTGGTACCAAAGCCTCACTCATTTGAAGGTTTAATCGCCTCTTGAGTCGATTCAGGAAGAGTTACATCGATTTTTAAGTCATCAATGGTCGACGCTTCAAACTCCAACTTGGGTCTCGATTCGATGCCCGTCAACAAGCCTCATTTCTTCAATGGAGCTAACTATGCCTATTTGAAGAATATGATGATGTATTTCATTCAAACAAGTGACATGAGAGCATGGA